CGTTCTGGTTGGTCCGGTCGTCGTGTTCCTCGTCCGCGTCAGCTGGACCTCGTAGTCCGTCGTCCTTCCTCTCCTTCGCAGCGTGTTCCTCTGCCGTCTCCTCCTGCGTCTTCTCTGCCTGTCGTTGCGGACCCTGAGTCTGACCGGTTTCGTGCTGAGCACCCTACTGTCACGCGTCTGCTAGCCACAGTTGTCACTGACCCGTCGTTTGAGTCTGCTGCTGCGTCTGCCTTAGTCGCTGAGCTTGTTGACTTTGCTGCTGCCTGTCGTCTAGACTACGCCGCTAGTCTTGTTGCTGAGTCTTAGTCTGTCTGTCCTCCGTCCGTCGGGGGTGAGTGTGCTCTTGGCACGGACGTCCTTGAGGACAGGCAGGAGGACCTTGAGTGTCTTGCAGCCGCTGCGCCTCATCTCGTGTCCATGCTGCTTGCCCCTGAGGGAGACCCGAATGCTCCAGACATCCCGACCCCGCGCTCTTACGCTGAGGCGATTGCGGGTGAGTACTCCTCTCAGTGGCAAACAGCCATGGACGCAGAGATGGCATCCTGGAAGTCCACAGGCACTTACGTCGACAAGGTTCCCCCACCTGGGGCGAACATTGTCAGTGGCATGTGGATTTTCAGGGTGAAGCGGCCGCCGGGTTCTCCGTCTGTCCTCAAGGCGCGTTACGTTGCACGAGGTTTCAGTCAGCGAGAGGGAGTAGACTTCTTCCAGACCTTCTCCCCCACCCCGAAGATGACCACTCTTCGGGTGCTGCTGCACGTTGCCGCTCAGCGTGACCACGAGCTTCACTCTCTTGACTTTAGCACGGCCTTCTTACAGGGCAGCCTGCACGAGGAGATCTGGCTGCGCCGCCCACCTGGCTTCACTGGGTCGTTCCCTCCTGGTACCCAGTGGAGCCTCCGGCGGCTGGTCTACGGTCTCCGCCAGGCGCCACGTGAGTGGCACGACACACTGAGGACGACACTTGCGGCTCTTGGGTTTGCTCCGTCGACTGCTGACCCGTCGCTGTTTCTGCGCACCGACACTTCGCTGCCGCCGTTCTACATCCTCGTGTACGTTGACGACTTGGTCTTTGCCACTGCTGACACTGAGGCTCTCGCCCTGGTGAAGTCAGAGCTGCAGAAGAGACACACGTGCACAGACCTGGATGAGCTGCGCAGTTACCTTGGCTTGCAGATCACCCGGGACAGAGCACGCCGCACCATCACACTGACTCAGTCACACATGGTGCAGCAGGTCCTTCAGCGCTTCGGCTTCACCTGGTCCTCGGCACAGGCCACTCCTCTGGCTACAGGTCACTCGCTCTCAGCTCCACCTTCGGACGAGTCCGTAGAGCCGAGTGGTCCTTACCCAGAGCTAGTGGGCTGCCTCATGTAGCTGATGACCTGCACTCGTCCTGACCTTGCGTACCCTCTTGGCCTTCTGGCTCGCTACGTGGCTCCTGGTCGGCACCGAAAGGTACACATGGATGCTGCTAAGAGGGTACTGCGCTACTTGTGCAGTACATCGGGCATGGGGCTCGTGCTTGGAGGACGGGGCGACGTTGTCCTCACTGGGCACTCGGACGCTTCTTGGGTTGACGACCAGGCTACGCAGCGGTCGTCACAGGGTTACACCTTCGGCCTTGGCTCTGGTTCGGTTTCTTGGCGTTCTACACGCTCGTCTTCAGTTCTCAGCTCCAGTTGTGAGGCTGAGATCCACGCCACAGCCATGGCTGCACAGGAGTTACGCTGGCTCACCTACCTGCTGGCAGACTTGGGAGAGCGGCCTCGTTCTCCTCCAGTGCTGTACGTCGACAACAAGGCCGCCATTGCCTTGTGTCAGGAGCACAGACTGGAGCACAGAACGAAGCACATCGCTCTGCGTTACTTCCTGGCTCGAGAGTTGCAGCAGCGTGGTCAGCTTCGTCTTGCTCACGTGGCCACTCGGGCTAACACTGATATATTCACCAAGGCGCTTCCGTCTGGTGATCATCAGCGTTTCTGCACTCTGTTAGGCCTTGTGCCCACGTTTCCTCACTTGCTGTAGACTTTGCATGTACTGTGATATATATATATATATACATATATATACCTGCATGCTTGCTCTGCTAGGCTGTAGTGGGGTAGCCATTCTGGGGTACAGCCCCTTTTAGGGTTTCATACTTGTACCCAACTCTTTCATAGTTCATTCATCCCTGCTGCTAGATTTTGACACCTTCCAGGCCTGAGATATCCACCTCAGGACGACCTCAGGTGGAGGCTTCTTCAGGTTCCCTGAAACATTACGGGAGAACGGTGGAAAGCCGTTAGTGCAACAACAACGAATTCGGGGGGGGGGGGGGGCGGGGGGGGGGGGGTTAAACAATACCGTACTCATGCCATACCTGCTGCCGTCAGCTGCTCTTGCCCCTCTGCCTCAAACCACCTCTGGTACTGCTGGCGGACTGACGCTTTAAAGCTCTTGTTGATGGAGACATCGAGCGGCTGTACCTCCGCCGTACAGCCCGACGGGATGATTGCCGGCACGCAGTTCATCTCGCGGAGCTTCTCCTTCACCCCCTCGGTGAGGTGACCGCGGTAAGAATCCAGCACCAGCATCGAGCTCTTGGCTTGTCTGCCGAACTTAGGCTTCAAGAAAGGCTTGACGCCCTCCTCAAGCCAGCGAATGACGCCCGCGGAGTCCATTCACCCGTTCTCGTGGCAAGCCACGACCACATCTGCACGAAACACGTACGGGTGATCAGAATTCGAAATCAGAACAGAACGCAGTTAACGAGCAGTGCACCTATTGACTTACCGGCAAGGAAATCGCCCTTCGGCAAGGTCTTGCGCTTGAAGAACACCCACGGCTTCAGCTTCAATCCGTCCGCCGTGCACGCCAACATCACGGTCACTCGCTGCTTCTGATACCCCGCGCTCCTGATGGGCACCGAGCGAACACCCGTTTCCTCCACGGTGGTGGTGGCGGGCATCTCCAGCCAGAGCGGCGTCTGGTCCGCGTTGATGATCCACGCGGTGTCGATGCCGCGCTCACGACGCTTGGCCCGCACGAACTGCCAGAAGCTCTGGCACTGCTCAGCGACATCTGTACGGCGGTGGAAGAGAGGACGGGCACAGAGGGAGGGTGTTAGTACAAATAAACAAAAAACCACGTGGCAAAGTACACGGGGTAATTCTTAAGCGCGGCGGTTTTCTAGGCAACCCGGGTCTTCATGCGGACGCTCAGATTCCATCGCCGCCGAAAGCGCTCCGACCACCTCTGGCTTCCTTTCCACTTCTTGTCCGGGTACAGAAGCTTCATGAACTCCCGCGACCACTCCTGCAGGCGGCCGACTGACACGGCGGTTCCCTTGCGGCGCCACTCAAGTAGCTTCCCGTACACCTTCAACTCCATCGGCCAGTACCACGACGCTCGCCCGCGGCCGTGCATGCGCTTCCGAGCGGAGTGAACGTCCTTGAGGAATTCAGCCGCCCGCTTCCAGTTGGTGAGGCACTTGCGGTGGATTCCGCTCTCGCGAGCCAAGGCGCGCACCGACACCGCCACATCAAGCAGAGCAACCCACTTCAACTTCTCCGCGACGGTGTAACCTTGCCGCTTGTGGTCGGTGAGCTTGTGCCTGGGAGAGGGGGGGCGGGCATCACGGTTCTGTGAAGAGGGGTGGGGTCGCTTCCGATTAATCGGAGGATAGGATGGTATGGGCAGTTTCTCGGGTAGCCCGTCGCGTGACCAATACTCCACGCCGTCGTCGTCATCGTCGCCCGTAACACCTTGTGGAAACACATCCTCAGCGGTGCCGCCCTCGGCGCCGCCCTCGGCAGAAGCCTCCGTGCCACCCTCGGCGCCGTCACCGCCGCTCGCTTCCTCAGCGTCAGCAACATAATCGTCGGCGCCGACTGCAGATTCGTCCCAAGGGCAATCGTCGGGCTGTCCCCAACGTGCTCCAGGCGCGTACTCCACTTCCACGTACTCATCTTGCGCCTTGTTAGACTCCGGTTCGGAGAGGTATTCGTCAAACGCCAATGGGATCAGCAGCGTGAGCACGGGCTGATTGCCAGTGTGTTGCGGAGTCACAGGACCCTGAGTAGACGGAGGAACAGGAGGAACAGGAGGCGCAGGAGGTGCAGGAGGCGAAGGAGGAGTAGGAGGCGCAGGAGGCGCAGGAGGCTGTGGTGGCTCTGGTGGTTCTGGTGGGATACGGGAGTACCACCCGTCAGCGTCTACTCTAATTGCGGGCCTTCGCGCAGGTTTTTTCTTGAACAAGAAGTGTGTGCCGCTGAATTCCGCCATGGCTTCCCCAGCCAGGCGAGAGTGGCCAAGAAACGGAACGAGAAACTGAGAGAAATGGAGAACAAATGAGGGATTCAAAGGGACCCCTTCTGGTTAGCGACTCGGGGTCCTCGTCGGGGAGAGACGGGTACCCCCTGTCTGAACCCGGAGAGGAGGGTATCGCGGCACGAACATGCTGCGCTGGCAGGGCATTCCAGCCCCTTCCCGATGGTTCGGGTGAAATGCAGCTGCCTGCCAGCGCATGAAAGCCTGATTGGGCCGCATGGCAACTTTCACGTCAGCGCTGGCAGGTGCGCTGCTCCTGGACGGGCTTTGTGCGGTCGGAAATCGAAGCGCGGCAGTTTTCGGCGGGATTTCATGCATGATGCCACGCGCACGTTACACAATTGTGTTCGCCTTATTGCGGGCTTCGATTTGATACTTATAAATAACAAATTCATTTTTGCCATGATATAAGCGCCGGCGCTTATGGCCGTTATTCAATTACAAGCGCCACCCCTAAAAAAATCGATTTTATTATAAGCGCATATGCGCCTTTATCCGGGGTAATACGGTATTCGCCTTCCTGGTTTACAGTGTACACCCACCTCATCCATTCAAAACCCGCTTCTACCTTCAACCTCGGGATTTCGAGATTTCCTGCTGCCACGTTGTACGTTTTGAATTCCCTGCTTATCCGCCACGCCGCGTCACCTCAGCGGCCGATTACGTGGCTTGAAGCTAACAGAGCCATGGCGCTGCTTGCTCCGGCCGCGGTTGTCTTCGAGACGGCTGTAACTGTGCCACGTGTCGCCAGAACAGTGGTTCCAGCATCTCGCGTCGCTTCGCGTGGAGTGTTCCTCCTGCCTGTGCGATCTCGAGGCGCATTTGCGAGGCGCTCGTCCTCGATAACACGCGCCGCGGCTCAACAGCCGGAAACGCAGCAAGCAGAGAGCGCTGCGAGCCCAGCAGTGGAGGACGGCAACAGCAGCGATGTTGACGTCAGCAAAGAAATCTCCAAGGTTCGAGACAATATGCGTTGACACGTCGTCGCATTGCTGGTTTTGCCGCTTTGGCTGCTGTGACGCCGCGGTTGCGTTCAGAATCACGAACGAAACATGTCCGCTCTTACTGCATTTGCCTTCCCTCTGCACGGGTCGCGTTATACGCGTTAATCGGTGCCTGGCGAAGTTTAAAGAAAACTAGCAAATGCGCCTCAAGAGATTCACAGCTTAGCACGACGTGGTGGGCCTCTCCCCCCCTTGCTGTTCCTTTTTCTCTCCCACTCCCCCTCCCCTGTAATTGAGATCCCCTTCTCTCGCGTTTCCCCGCTTCTCTGACGTCATTCCAACGTAACATCTCGACCCCTCGCTATCCTTGCCCACTCCTCCTCCAATTGCCACCCTTCCTTCGTTCACAATCTCTAACCTCTCACACTCCAATTTCCCACTCTCCTTCCAATCTCTAACCCGCCTGCTTCGCCCTTCCCCTCTCTTCCAACCAACCGTCGTTCTCCCATCTCTCCCCATTCGCTCCCCCATGATCGCCTCTACCATAATTCATCAATTATCCCCTCCCCCCTCACAGTCAGGTCGTCCTCAAGATCATGTCGTCACGAGTATAGCATCTCTGCCTCTCCCCGTGCCATCCCCCGCTCTTCCTTCCCTTCTTCATACCCTGTCTTTCCTCCTGTTTCCCCTCCTTTCTCTCTCGCCGTCCTCTGCCCCACCCCCTCTGCTTTCCCCTTCCCCTATCACCCACTCTCTCACTCGCTCCTCCCTTCCAGAAACCAACCAATCATCCCATTCCCTTCTCTCTCCATCCTGCACTCGCGCATTCACACCCTGAAGCACCCTCTTCCGTTTCCCCTTCTCACCCCCCACGTGCGTCCACCAAGTAATAAGTCGACAACATCCCAGCCGTGCCATACCTGCCTTTGCTCTCCCGTTCCCCTCCCCCCACGTCTCCTCCCCTCCCCTCTCCCCCCTACACCAGGTGGTGAAGAAAACGGCGACCACGTCGCCCCGCGCGCCTCCACCAAGTCAAAGAACCCGTTCCCCCTTCCCGTTTCCCTTCCCCCTCGCCTCTTCCCCTCCCCCTTTCCCCCCTACCAACCTCCCCCTACCTCAGGCGGTGAAGAAGACAGCAACCACGTTTGCCCCGCGCGCGTCCACCAAGTCAAAGAACCCCGCCGTGCCCGGATCAACCCTCTACACCATCTTTGAGGCCCAGGCCTACCTCAGCGCCGCGTTTGGCGGACTGCTCTCCTACAACCTGCTCTTCCCCTCGGACGAGCCTGATATCTGGCGCCTCATGGGCATGTGGTCCATCTGGATGTTCAGTGAGTGGGGTTTTGTATGGGCGTGCATGGGCGTGCATGGGTGTGCATGGGTGTGCATGGGTGTGCATGGGCGTAAAGTGGGGATATGGAGCGTGTATGCAGGAATGGATGCATGTATGCAGGAATGGATGCATGTATGCAGGAATGGATGCATGTATGCAGGAATGGATGCATGTATGCAGGAATGGATGCATGTATGCAGGAATGGATGCATGTATGCAGGAATGGATGCATGTATGCAGGAATGGATGCATGTATGCAGGAATGGATGCATGTATGCAGGAATGGATGCATGTATGCAGGAATGGATGCATGTATGCAGGAATGGATGCATGTATGCAGGAATGGATGCATGTATGCAGGAATGGATGCATGTATGCAGGAATGGATGCATGTATGCAGGAATGGATGCATGTATGCAGGAATGGATGCATGTATGCAGGAATGGATGCATGTATGCAGGAATGGATGCATGTATGCAGGAATGGATGCATGTATGCAGGAATGGATGCATGTATGCAGGAATGGATGCATGTATGCAGGAATGGATGCATGTATGCAGGAATGGATGCATGTATGCAGGAATGGATGCATGTATGCAGGAATGGATGCATGTATGCAGGAATGGATGCATGTATGCAGGAATGGATGCATGTATGCAGGAATGGATGCATGTATGCAGGAATGGATGCATGTATGCAGGAATGGATGCATGTATGCAGGAATGGATGCATGTATGCAGGAATGGATGCATGTATGCAGGAATGGATGCATGTATGCAGGAATGGATGCATGTATGCAGGAATGGATGCATGTATGCAGGAATGGATGCATGTATGCAGGAATGGATGCATGTATGCAGGAATGGATGCATGTATGCAGGAATGGATGCATGTATGCAGGAATGGATGCATGTATGCAGGAATGGATGCATGTATGCAGGAATGGATGCATGTATGCAGGAATGGATGCATGTATGCAGGAATGGATGCATGTATGCAGGAATGGATGCATGTATGCAGGAATGGATGCATGTATGCAGGAATGGATGCATGTATGCAGGAATGGATGCATGTATGCAGGAATGGATGCATGTATGCAGGAATGGATGCATGTATGCAGGAATGGATGCATGTATGCAGGAATGGATGCATGTATGCAGGAATGGATGCATGTATGCAGGAATGGATGCATGTATGCAGGAATGGATGCATGTATGCAGGAATGGATGCATGTATGCAGGAATGGATGCATGTATGCAGGAATGGATGCATGTATGCAGGAATGGATGCATGTATGCAGGAATGGATGCATGTATGCAGGAATGGATGCATGTATGCAGGAATGGATGCATGTATGCAGGAATGGATGCATGTATGCAGGAATGGATGCATGTATGCAGGAATGGATGCATGTATGCAGGAATGGATGCATGTATGCAGGAATGGATGCATGTATGCAGGAATGGATGCATGTATGCAGGAATGGATGCATGTATGCAGGAATGGATGCATGTATGCATTTGCATGGGCATGCAGCAGCACTTATCCACCTGTTCCCTGTGGTGCCGCTAGTCAACCACCTCTTCCCTGTGGTGCCGCTAGTCAACCACCTCTTCCCTGTGGTGCCGTGCCGCTAGTCGACGTCACGTCACGCTGCCTCTTTCCAATCTTCCGCCCCTCCTCCACACCTCACTCATGCCTCTGTAACCTTCTCACTCCCTTTCTCCTTCCCTCCTCCCCTCCTCCCCTCCCCTTCCCTCATATCCTCTCTCCTCCACCCTCATCCCCCCCTCCGCGTCCTCCTCCTCCCATCCCACTCCTCCCCTCCCCACCTCCCCCCCAGCCATCCCGTCGCTGCGAGCGAGGGACTGCAGTGAGAACGAGAAGACAGCACTCAACTACCTCTTCCTCGTCGTGCCACTAGTCAACGTCACGCTGCCGCTCGTCTGGAAGTCATTTGCTGCCGTCTGGACCGCAGACGTCATTGTCTTCACACTCTTCTACGCCTGGAAGGTGGGGATGGGTGGGAATGGGTGGGAATGGGTGGGAATGGGTGTGAATGGGTGTGAATGGGTGTGAATGGGTGTGAATGGGTGTGAATGGGTTTGAATGGGTGTGAATGGGTAGAAATGGGTAGAAATGGGTGGGAATGGCTCATGTTTGAGTGTGGTGATGTTTGAGGCGTCCTCAAAGCTGCCGCTCGTCTGGAAGTCATTTGCTGCGGTCTGGACTGCAGACGTCATTGTCTTCACACTCTTCTACGCCTGGAAGGTGGGGATGGCTGTGATAATTGTGATAATTCGTTAGGCGCCTCAAAAGTTATCCTCCGCAAGTCATTTGCTGCTGTGTGGACCGCAGACGTTATCGTCTTTACGCTCTTCTACGCCTGGAAGGTGGGGATTGTGTATGAAAACGGTTGGGAATGTCAACAGTTTGGAATTGCACCCCCCTGAGGTGGCTGTTTATCTGTCCCACCTCTCTCTTGCTAACACTTCTTCTGCCCGTTGCGGCCACACTCCTCTGCCTTGCTGTGCCCGGCTCTCTCTCTCACGCACAGAAACTCCTCTCACACTTATACATGTGCAGATGCACAACGTATGTCGATTTTGAGAATTCTCAGTATCGACGTAATGAGGATTTTCAATATCGACCTTTTGAGGATTCTCATAATCGACCTAACGTACACTTGCATGTGCAGACGCACAACGTCCGCACCCATGCACGCTCACAGTTTTCCAATCTGCTTCCACTGTTGCTTCGACTAGTTCATCCCAATTTTATCAAGTACACCTTCTCTCTCCGTCTCTCACCCACTCCATGCCTCCCTTCCCCCCCTCGCCCCTCCACCCACAGCTAGAGTGGTTCTCTAAGAAGGAAAGCGATTCAGACTCGTAGAGAGAGACACACACATATACCATGAACATACCACACGTGTGACACACATGTCATGCACATGCAACACATGTGCCCTGCACATCACACAACCATCGTATTGGCAAAACAGTTGGCACATTTAGAACAAGCCGTAGCAGCAGCAGCAGCAGCGGCGGCAGCGGCGGCGGCAGCAGCAGGAGCAGCGGCGGCAGCAGCAGGAACGGCGGCGGAAGGAGCAGCAGTTTCGGTTTATCTCAGGGAATAGCTTTCTGCCAGTGCGTGGTGCTTCTCCTTCACTACTCTCCTCTCGTCTCTCACCTTTTCCGGGTTATCGGACCCACAAATTGCACAGCCTTTTTCTAGTAGCTGCATGTGCATTCCTTTCCTTCAGACCGTCTACTTGTTGCATGTCACTGTAGGGTAGGTTGATCGAATGCATCCTTAGGTAACTTTCCCTTCTGTAGGTCTCTTCTACTGCCTATGTGCTATTCGAAAATAAAAAAACGTCCCAACTGTATCAATGTGCTTGCTAGTGGATATTGGCTGGTTGGAGATTGCAGGAGGTGTGAAATAAGGCCAACCAGTCAGACCATTGCTTGTACACACCTGACGCATCCCTTGTGAAAAAAAAAGAAGTATTGCAGAGAACTGTTGCAAGTTGGATGCTGACTTGGGCATCAAAATACCATCAGTATAGTACCAGTAAGAAAGAAGCAATTAAAGATTGTTGGAAGACAGTATGTTGGGCCATTACGCCCTAATCATGTTACAGAAGTAGCTCAGGAGTTTAATGCACACAAACAGCACTGCAGCTCAGTAAAACTAGCTGGCATATCTTAGAGCGTATTCCTATCCTCGTATCAAGAAAACCTCATATCAAGTTTGGGGATGTCTCAAACTTTTAGACATCTTCCGAACTTGGGTGTACACCTTGTTTTTTAAGGTAGTACGCCGTGTAAGCTTTGCAGCACGAGCAACTGTGCTGCCAGCAATTGTATTTAAAGGTCACAGTGCAATGGTAGCACCCATGCACATCCACACTCGCACACACACACGCACACACACATGCATACACACACACACACACACACACACACGCACACGCACACACACATGCATACACACACACACACACACACACACACACACACACACACACACGCTCACACACGCTTGCACTAACAACCCCCCCCCCCCCCACTCCCTCCCACCCCAAACACACAGCACATCACATCTCCATCCCGCACTCTCCTCCTCCCTCCACCATCCCCCCCACCTCTCCCTCCCCACCACCCCGCACTCCTTCCCCTCCTCCCACCCCTCCTCCCCCTCCTCCTCCCCCACCCCTCTCCTTCATCTCCCCAGCCAACATCTCCCCCTGAAGCGCCTTGAGTGACGACCCACTGTGTGCCTTGCGGCGCTTGTAGCTGGCCTTGAAGCACACCTGTCTCAGCGTCTTGATGAACACACACACGCGCACGAGACACACACGCACTCCACTCCACCCTACACAAACACATCACATCTCCATCCCGCACTCTCCTCCGCCCTCCATCATTCCCTCCCCCACCCGTCCCTCCCCACCACCCTTTACCCCTTCCCCCCCACCCACCACCACCCCTCCCCCATCCCTCTCCTTCATCTCCCCGGCTAACATCTCCCCCTGAAGAGCCTTCAAAGACGACCCAGTGTGTGCCTTGCGCCGCTTGTAGCTGGCCTTGAAGCAGACCTGCCTCAGCGTCTTGATGCGCGGGTCCAGCCCTTGCTTGGGATCCTTCCCCAGAAGCTCCTTCTTTGCCTCCAGCTGCTCCACCGTCTCTGCTGCCATGGGGCCGTGAATCTCCTGCGGTTGGGAAGGGTTTGGAAGGGTGCGGGAGGAGTTTTGGGTCGACTCAAAACTCGTCCAGCCCTTGCTTGGGATCCTTCCCCAGAAGCTCCTTCTTCGCTTCCAGCTGCTCCACTGTTTCTGCCGCCATTGGGCCATGGATTTCCTGCGGTTGGGAAAGGTTTGGAGGGGTGGGTGGATTTGGGGTGGTAGAACAGAGGGGAGGGAACCTTGAGTGGACTCGAGAGAAACCAGCTGGACCTGCCATGAGTCTGTGATTCTGCTGTGGTTGGGAAGAATAGGGGGAGTCAAGAGCAGAGAGCAGAGAGCAGCGAGCAGACAGGAAAGGGAAGAGAGCAGAGAGAAGAGAGCAGAGAGCAGCGATGCAGAGCAGCAACCTGACCAGCAACAAGATCCACTACAAGCGTACCTTCATGTTCTCTATAAGGTTGTCGAGTGACTTGAGCTTGCGGTGCGGCCACCTCTGTATGCCGAGCTCACGGCATCGCTTCTTGAGCACTGTCAGCCCCACCCCCAGCACACGCGCTGCGTTCTGGATGCTCATGCGGAAATACTGCCGTGGGATGGGGTGGGTGGAAGTGGGATGGGATGGGGTAGACTTTTCAGTCGACTCAAAAGTCAACTGAGCACTGTCAGCCCCACCCCCAGCACACGCGCTGCGTTCTGAATGCTCATGCGGAAATACTGCCGTGGGATGGGGTGGGGTGGGGTGGGGTGGGGTGGGATGGGGTGGGATGGGGTGGGATGGGGTGGGATGGGGATAGGAAACCTTTGAGACGTCGGAAAAGGCTCTAGTCACAAGTGCTGGGTTCTCAATGATCATGCGAGATATGGAATGGGAGGGACGGGGGAGAATGGATGGGAGGATGGATGGGTAAGGAGGGATGGAGAAGGGGGATGGGTGACGGAAGGCAGCGGAGAGGGCAAGAGAGAATGCAGGTCAAAAAGAACGAAATTTCAAGCTCTCACCCTTCCCTCCCATCCCTCCCATCCCTCCCATCCCTCCCATCCCTCCCATCCCTCCCATCCCTCCCATCCCTCCCATCCCTCCCATCCCTCCCATCCCTCCCTCCCACCCTTCCCACCCCTCCCATCCCACCCCATCCCTACTGCTCACCTGCGAGAGCTCATCCAACTGCATCTCATTCAACCGCTCTGACGGCGACCGTAGCGACCGCCTCAGCACCCCATCACTCGCAGCGCTCCCTCCCGCCGCCTCGTTCCCACCGCCGCTCCCAACCCCAGCAGCACTGCCCATCTCCTCGTTGATTGCACCAGTCTCCACCGTCTCCAACCCCTCCGCCTTCTTCCCCACCTGAAGGCTCCCCGCGTTCACTTGACCCTGGGATTGACCCTCAAACTGACCCTCGAACTGACCCTTGAATTGGCCCTCAAATTGACCCACTTGACCCAACGCGGGAAACTGTGTGTGCTGCTGCTTCAGGTCCCCAAGAGCTGCATTCCCACCTTGCCCTCCAGGCCACTGCACAAGGCCTTGCTTCACCTCACCCGCCCCCGTCACTCCTGCAGCTCCTGCTGCTCCTCCTGCTGCTGCTCCTCCTGCTGCTGCAGCAGCTGAAGGTGAGAGAACCTCTCCTTTGATCCTGGACTGAAGACTATTCACCTGTGCACCACGTGCTGCTCCTCCCGCTCCTGCTGCAAAACCACCACCACCACCACCACCACCAACATCCCCTCCTCCTCCTCCTTTTTCACCCTCCTCCTTCCCTCCCAAGCTTCCCGCCACCCCTCCTGCAGCAGCGAACATGTCATTCAGGCTCTGCTCCATGGGGTTTAACTGCCTCACGTCCTGTGGCGATACCCCAAAGGAAGGCATTGGGTTCTCCTGTTGCAATCCCTGGGTGAGGGTGTAGAGAAAGCTTCCATGCACTGACACATCGGCAGCCGAATCGAGCCCTGCAACAGCAGCAGCAGCAGCAGAGCCAGTAGCGTTGGTTGCACAAGGAGACTCGGAGAAATAAGAGGAGGAGGAAGGAGAGGAAGCCGCAGCAGCGGCAGCAGCAGCAGCAGCAGTGGCGGCAGCAGCACTATTTGCGACCCCAGCAGCCGCAGCAGCGTTGGGATGAGAAGCAGTCAAACCACCACCAGTCGCAGCAGCAGCAACTGCAGCAGAAGCAGCAGCAGCAGCAGCAGCGGCAGCAGCAGCGGATGGAGGAGGTGAGGGAGTATACATTGGAAGCATGTGCATCATATCTACATCAATGGGACAGCTTGAGAGAAGCAGACTCACGAAATTAGTGGCACCCCCATGCATACCCTCACTCTCACTAGCACCCCCCTCCTCCTTGTTCCCCCCCGTCCTATCCCCACCCGTATCCCCCTTACACAGCCTGCTGTACTCCTTATAGCACTCTTCCGTTTCCATATTGTGCTGAATTCCGTCATCTCCAGTGTTAACTCCTGTATTGCCATTCATGGTCGAAATCATATGGCCATCCATGTTGCTTTGCCCATCCAAACGCATGCCAGAGCCCATACCCATGCCCATTCCCATTCCGGTACCCATACCCATGCCAGTCTGCGCCTGTGCTTGTGCCTGTGCATGTGCCTGTGCCTGTGCCTGTGCCTGGACTTGTGCTTGCGCTTGTCGCTGCAGCAGCAACAGCTGTTCCGAGGTAGGGTAAGTCAGGGGGGTGGTGAGAACTGAAGCAGGTGATGTCAGGGGGGGGTAGGAACGGCCTTCAGCAGCAGCAGTAGCAGCAGCAGCAGCAGCAGCAGCAGCAGCAGCAGCTGAGGCAGCTGCGGCAGCAGGGGCAGTAGAAGCAGCAGTTGAGGCAGGTAGATTAGCAGCCATGGCAATGGTGGCAGCAGCTGAAGCGCTAGCATCACCATCAGCGGCAGCAGCGGCAGCAGCAGCAGCAGGAGGAGCAGGAGGAGCAGCAGCAGGAGGAGGAAAAGCAGCAGAATTGAGAGAATCAAATACTGTGAAAGGGCCATCAGAAGCTGCTGCTGCTGCTGCTGCTGCTGCTGCTGCTGAAGCTGAAGCTGTTGCTGCTGCTACATTAGCAGCAGAGATAGGTTGACTACGAGGAGGAGGAGGAAGGAGAGGAGTATCCATACGGGTGCTGGGACTAGGTGGACCGGAATTGGAAAAGAAGTTAGGGCGGAAACGAGAGGTGGAGGGGGGAAGGAGAGAAGCGTGTGAGGCAGAGAGAGAGGAAGAAGAGAAAGGAGAGGGGGAGAATGGGGAGGAGGAGAAAGTGGAGGGGGAGAGAGCGGATGGGAAGGGGGAAGGAGGAAGGGAGGAGGAATGGAAGGAGGGGGGATGGAAGGAAGAGGGGGGATATGAGGAGGAAAGGAAGGTGGAAGGAGAGAAGGAGGGAACAGAGAAGGCAGAATAAGGGCGAACGTTATCGGTTGAATGAGGGGGGGACGGGAGAGAAGCGGAGGAGAGACGGGTGGATGAGGAGGAATGGGTAAGCGCAGCAGCAACAGCAGCAGGAGTGGTTGGAGGGAAGACGAATGGTCTTGGTCTAGAGAACATGAGTTGAGATGGGATGGGGGCGGAAAGTGAGGGGGAGTGAGGGAAAGTGGTGGGGAATTGGGTGAGCGGACGGGGGAATGGTTGCGAGGCGTTGAACAGTGCAGTATGGGAGATGCACGATGCTGCAGTAGCGGTGGGAGGAGCGGCAGGAGTAGGGGTGGGAGGAAGAGGAGCGGGCGGAGCAGCAGGAGCAGCAGCCGAAGGAAGAGCCGGTGTAACATCATCAGTATTGTTCATCCTGCCGCTGCTATCAACGCCCGAAGACAGAAACCCATCAGCGTTTGAGTCGCCATTGCTTCTCTTACGGCCGCTGTTCTCCCTATAAGGCGATGCACCATAAGAATAACCAGGACGGCCGTCCTCATTAGAAGCTCCCTCGTTTGTAGTTACCGCACCGAAACCATCTGAACCGTTAAGAGTCGAGCCGTTGCCCGGTCGACACCCCCCTAGAAAGTGCAAGGGGGAGAGGGGATAGTGGGTGGCGAAGGAAGGGGAGAGAAGGAAGGAGGAGGGAGAGAGGAGGGCCATAGGGGAGAGCAGACCAGAGCCGTGCTCTTCTCCTCCCATTCCGTGCACAGTTAGCGCAGCTGTCGACGCTGCTGCTGCTGCTGCTGCTGCTGCTGCTGCTGTTCCTGGTGCTGCTGTTAGTGCTGATGGCGATGGTAGTACTGTTGGTGGTGCAACTCGTGGGGTTAGAACCAGCTGTCCCACTGCTGCACTCCTCTCATCAGCATATCTCTCATCGACGCTCCTCATTCTGCTGCCTCCCTGTGTCTCCTTCCCCCCACCATCCCCACCCTTCTCGCCCCCTCCCAATCCTCCTGCTACCCCTCCTTCTCTCAAAGAAGCTTCCACACTAGCCAACGCAGCTTCCACATCCATCCCCTCCCCTTTCCCCCTCCTCCCCTCCTCCTCCCCCTCCTCCCCCTCCTCTTCCTCCCCACCCACCTCTTCCCCCACCTCCCCCTCCTCTCCCTCCTTATGAGGCCTCAGCCACAGATCTCCGTCTAAAACGCTGCTCACCCCACGGAACAACGACCCACCAGGAGTCCTCGCCTTCACTCGCCTTCTCATAACCTCCCCTCTGCTCTCCCCTCCCCTCCCCGACCCCTCTCCTCCCTCCCTTCCTCCTTCCCCTCTCTCCTTTCTTTCCGTTTCCAGTGACATGACCTGCCTCATAGGGGGAGGGAGAGCGGCGGGGGGCAGCGGGGGCGGCCCCAGATTAGCCCATCTGACTGGGGGTATTTCGACTCGTAGACTCGGGCGGCTGCGCCGGCTGTTGGGAGCGAGCTTGGGTCTTCGGGAGAGAGTAGCAGGGGAACCAGGAGCATAGGGAACAGTGGCAGCAGCACCAACAGCAGAAGCAGCAGCAGGAGAGGCAGCAGGAGGAGCACTGGCTATGGCGCAAGGTCTCTGAATGGTTCCAAACACCCCCGCTGCAAGCGTATCAGCAGCAGCAGCAGAAGAAGAAGCCTTAGGAACAGGAAACATAGAACCTCCTCCTCCTACCCCTGCTGCTGCTGCTCCTCTTGCTCCTCCCCCACCCATCGTTCCAATCGACAGGCGAGAAACCGGGGTGGAGGCGAGAGGAGACGGCACAGCAGCAGCAGCGAAAGCAGAAGCAGAAGCGGTACCAGAGGCAGCAGCAGAGGCAGTACCAGAGGCACCAGTCGACACAGCCATGGACAGCGCAGCAGTGGCTTTCAGAAGGCTCCCAGACATCAACTTACTCACACCGCCACCGCCCTGTGTGTCTTGACTGACTGATGCCGTGCTTGCACTCAGAAAGCTTGAGGAGGACGCACTATAGTTGGTCGTTCCATAATCTTGGACCTCTCCTCTCACTCCTGTAATCGTCTCCCGCTGTGCTCCAGCCACCGCAGCAGCAGGAGGAGCGGCAGCAGCAGCAGGGGTAGGAGAGGGACCGGGAGCAGCAGCAGAAGCAGATGCAGCAGCCGCCGCTGCTGCTGCTGCTGTCCGTCTTTCAAGCAGGAAAAGGCGCCTCCTAGGGCTCTTCACAGGGCTTCCTTCCAGCAGTGCAATCCTCTCTATAGTCGGCCTCCTCTTCCTCTGCAGCGGCTCCTCCGCCGAGCCTGGAGTCACAGCCTCGGGCCCAGGCTTCACGCTAGGCTCGGGCGAGCAGCTGCCGAGGCTGCTGCTGGTGGCTCGGGGGAAGGCCAGGGTTGATATTGATGTTAAGGCACTCGGGGGTTGCATGGGGGCGAGACAGGGGAGGGAGGTGCTCCTACGAATATGATTGTTGTTCATGCCGGTCCGGGTGGTAGCAGGAGCAGGGGCAGGGGCAGGAGCAGCAGTAGCAGGAGAAGGAGCAGTAGCGTTGTTGGTAGTGGTGGCGGTGGTGGTGGTGGCTGTGGGGACAGCAGCAGTTGTAGCGGCAGCGGCAGTGGCAGTGGCGGTGGCAGGGGCAGTGGCAGGGGAGGGAACAAGGTGGCGAGAAGGCATGGGGAAAAGAGCAGGAGGAGCACACGACGACGTTTGGTGCCGAACGTTCTCCCGAGCCTCTTCCCGAACCTCCTCGTGCATCTCCACGTGTACCACCTCCTGCACCTCCATCCGCATATCTCCATGCAACGTCAACTCCTGCTGCGCCTCATACGCCCTCTCGCACCTCATCCTATTCCCCACTTTCAAATCCTTCAAATCCCCAACCTCTGATATCCCCATATCCTCTGCTCCTTCCGCTGGTACCATCTCTGGTATTTCCTCCTGTCGTTCCTCCAAGGTCTTCCCTTGTACTTCTGCTTGAGTGTCTTCGTGTGGGGCTGCTTGAGTGTCTTTGTGCAGGGCAGCAGGAACCGCATCCATCTCCATGCTTCCATTGCTGCTGCTGGTGATGCCACCAGCTAAAGCAGGTCCAGCTGCTGCCACCATCGCAGCAGGAGCAACAGCTGCAGTGGTGGTGTTGGTGGCAGCAGAAGGAGCAGGAGAAGCAGTGGCGGCGGTGGTGTTAGCGTCTTGTACTGGGGTGTGGGCAGAGGCATGGGTGCGAGTTGCCGCACAGTCAGTCTCCATGGGTGTACCAGCAGTAGCAGCACTGCAATCAAAAGCATCTACAGCAGCAGCAGCAGCAGCAGCAGCAGCAGCAGCAGCAGCAGCAGCAGCAGCATCACGAGCATCAGCAGGAGGGCCAGGAGAAATCGTAGAAGCATCATTACCACGATCGGCCTCAGCATTAGCAACCCCATAAGTATCAGCGTCAGCATCAGCATCAGTATCAGAGTCAGCATCCCCATCCCCATTTTCATTCCCATTTTCATCGCCACTGTAATCGTCTTTGCTGCCTAAATCCCCATCACCATCCTCAGCTGCAGCTAAGTCAGCAGCAGCAGCAGCAGCAGCAGCAGCAGCAGCAGCAGCAGCAGCAGCAGCAGCAGCAGCAGCAGCAGCAGCAGCAGCAGCAGCAGCAGCAGCAGCATCAGCAGCAGCAGCATCAGCATCACCATCAGCAGCAGGAGCAGCAAACTGCGGTTGCACCCACACGCGCGTTCCACGTGTGCCGCCGTGGCTCAGCGCCGCGTGTATGTGAAGCACGTCCTGTAGTAGCGCCGGCACTCGGTGCAGGTCGGGGTTGCTGCAGCACACAAGGCGGGAAGAGGCAAGAAGGGACAAGGTGGGAGAAGGGGCGAGAAGGACGCGTGGTGGGAAGAGGCGAGGAGAGGAGACGCGAGGGGGAGAGGCGAGGTGGGGAGAAGCGGGGGAGAGGCGAGGAGGGGAAGGGCGAGGAGGGAAGAGATGAGGGGAGACGCGACGCAAGGTGGGAATACGGACGTCACAAGGGATGAGGGAACAAGGGACAGAGAGGCGGGAGAGGGAGGGGGGAGACAGGAGGGAGGAGAAGCGGATATGGTGGGGAAGAGGGAGGGGAAGTGATGCATTAGATGGTAGCGTAAAACGCGGGGCGAGATGAAGAGAGAACAATAAAGAAGGAGAGGTGTTCGAGGAACCAAGGATAGTGAAAAGCAAGGGGATACTGGACGGCAGGGGACGAAGAGCGAGGAGGGAGAGGAGGGGGGGAGGGGGGAGGGAGGGGGATGCGGGGGTGCAGACAAGACAACGGGCGTCTTTAAAGCGGGAGCGAAGGCATGGCAAGAGAAACGAAGGGTGGGAGCACAACACAGGATTTGGGAAATCGGGGAAACGGGGGAGGGTGAGGAGATGGGTTGGGCCGGGGGAAGTGGGGGGGATGTTGGGGGGGTGGGGTGGGGGGAAAGAAGGCACGGGGAAGGAAAGAGGGGAGGAGGATGCGCGAGGGGGTGCCATCAAGAAACCAGGCGGTAAAAGGGGAGGGGAGAGGCATACCTGTCGGGAGAGAGAGCAGGAGGCAAACGAGACGAAGGCGCTAAGCCGTCAGAGGAAGTTGGCGCGCTTATGCATGCTCCTTCCCTCATATCCCCCCCTTCCCTTACCCTTTCCTCCCCCCCTCCCCTTTCAAGTTCCCGTTCCCCGCCCCCTTCCCCGTCCCCGTACCCGTCCCCGTACCCGTCCCCCTCCCCGTCCCCCTCCCCGCATCCCCCCCATGCGCTTCCCCCCGCGTAAAACTCCAGATACGGCAGCCATCCGTCCTCGATTCCCGCCGCGCGCGACGCGAGCAGGTGGCGCAGCGCGAGCGACGATCCGGCGCAGTGGAACGAATCCGGATCCGATTCCGTGTCGGTCGGCAGGCACGTGAAGGTCGGCCGGCCGTCGGGGGAACCGGGCGAGCTTATAGGGAGGATGAAGTTAAGTTGCGTGGAGACGAAGTGGTTCGGCGATACTTGATGTAGGTGGATCGAGAAAAAGATAACTGCGCGGGAAGGGAAACCAGGGCGGAAGGAGAAAACGGGAAGAAGGACAGGGGAGGAAGCGGAAGGACAAGGGAAGAAGCCATAAAAAACATGAATTCGCCTGCTAACGACGTTAAGGACCGCACGCGATTATATGGCCTAACATGACACCACGTCACCAAATCTGACCATCCACCGCTGTTGTTGAGCTAGTCTACCGTCACGATCACAGTCGCCGTTACCGTCACCGTCCCCGACATCGTCACTGTCAACGTCCGCGTCGCTCTCACAATCAGCGTCAGCGACACCGTCCGTCGTACAGAATCACAGACTAGAAAAGCTCATTCACATAACAAGGAAAAGGGAAACCAGGTTGACAACAATTTTTGTACGCCGAAAGCCCTCCGACTCTCACACCGCATCACCAACCCATCCCATCCCACCCCATCGCAACGCATCCAATCCAAGACCAGCCATCACAAATCTTATCCCATTCCAACCAATCACACCCCATCATCTCCCATCCAATATCCCATCCAACCCGCAAATTTACTTGGCGAAAAGCGATCTTGAAACACAACCAGCGACGTCAGCCCCAGCCCGCCGCTGCTTCCCCTTCGGCCCGTTCCCCGCAGCCCCAAATCCGTGTCCCGCGCGGCCGTCACGCCCGCACTCCCCCAGGCCACAACTTCCGCATACGCCATCGGCGCACGCGCAGGCATGCATGTCCTCGCAGCAGTTACCGCCGCGTCGTCGTCGACTCGCATCGCCATCGTTGTTTCGCCTTCAGAAGCCGACGCGTCGCGTGCTTCGACCGTGACCTTGGTGGGAATTACTGCGATGCATGTCGACTTCCCCGCACGCAGGTCATCCGCGCCTGCTGCGACGTCGCCAGCCTCGTCGTGCGTCGTCGTTTGCGGCGACTGTGCGACGCAATTTGTCGCATAGCCGTCTGCGACATCGCTTGCGTTTCCTAGCTCGTGCGCTGGCGTCGTCGGTATCGAAGCGCCAGCCGCGACAATTCCTCTGCCCGGACTCATAGCTTCCGTCATATCAGGAAGTGCCGATAAAATCGCATGTTTGAACACTCTATCATCCTCGTTATTGCATTCACCGTAATCTACACTGCCCCTGGGGTACGCGGCTCGCTCGTAGCTTCCCGCAACTGTATCTCCACCGCAGCTTCTGCGGTCGCCGCAACCCCCGACGGGGCTTGAGCTATTTCTGCCCGCGCTGCCGCGGAATTTTTCCCGGAAGCCATTTTCCCCCTGCGTGGTGCAGCCCGTTTCGGGTCGCGACGGCTCTGCGCCGCCGCCGCTGCCGCCGTGAGCGACGTTATGGGAGAAGACCGTGAGGGGTGGCGTGCTGTCGTTCATTCGCGCTGCTGCCGCCGCAATGGCCGTCAGCTGATCTGCTTCCGCTGCGTATTTGGCGTGAATCGCGGCCGTTACCACTTTTGCCTCTGCCGCTGCGATTGCTCTTCGGAGATGTGTACAGTAACTATTGGAGCCGGCTTGATGGTCGCAGTTAGTAGCGCAGCGCCGATTGTAGCAGCAGCTGCTGCCGTTGCTGCTGCTGCTGCTAGTGCTGGTGGCCGTCGAAACGCTGCTCGCACGGCAAACGTATGCTGTCGCAGCGCCTCTTCCGGCGGAGGTGCCACCGCCACCGCCACCGCGGCGACACGCGGGGAGCGGCCCCTGAACAAGTGGAGACATGAATTTCACGCGACGCGTCGTCGCGGTGACAAGCTCCGCGAGTCGAACGTGTCAGATTCCGTCTCAGAGATTTCTACCTAAGATTCTTAGACGATTATGACTCCTCACAATCATCAGGGCGATCATTTTTTGTCACGGTTTTGAGGGTGATCACTTCTCGTCACGGAGTGCTGTTTGTTTGACGACGTGTTCTTGAATGGTAGAGCCAGTGGAGAGAAACGGTGATCGTCGTCGTCACGGTAATTAAAGTTCGCGGTAATCAGTGATTAGTTCAACATACTCGCAGCGCTTCTGGCAGAAGAAAGTTGCTGGCGTTGGTTGTCAGCACCGTAGATGGACGAAATTTTAGTACACAGAGATTCTCTCAGCCAAGGATAGCAAGAACAAGAATGGATGATCATCAAATCACTGGCAGGCACACATGCCAGCAGCAGCAGTGCAGTGCACACAAAAGGAGGAGGTAGCATTCAAGACTACAGACGCCAGCAGCACAGCAGATAGCAGCGGCAGGCGCAGCAGTGGCAGCGAGCATGTGATCAGCAACGAAGCAATCTGCTGTGAGGTTCTCACACGTACAACAGATGGGAGGTTCTCACACGTACGACAAGAGGAGGGGGATGGGAGAGAAGTGAGGGGAAGCGGAACCTAGAGAAGTTGATGTGAAGTGGAGTGGAGAGTGGTGCTGCTGCTGTACATGGAGGGTTTAGATGTGTTCAGAACCGCGAAATCGTGTTGCTTGGCTGGGAAAGTGTCCACGCCAGACAAGTCGGGGAAACTGTCGAAGGGTTCTTCCCAGGTCAGAGGAAAATAACAGGAGGCTCTTCTCCCTTCCAATCGCGTGGAAGAACAAGCTGGCGACTCGACTCAGTAAATGCGCGCATGACACAAGAAGTTGGGTTTGGCGGTTAAAATCAGGTGTTGCTAAAAGTGAGAAGTTGGAAGTTCCAAGGTGACCTTTCTGGATTTGGAGGCTTATGGGCGATTTGGAACCAGCACCGCCATTCCGGCGACGGCAGCGCCTGTGTTTACCTAGCTATTTACACCCATAACGTCTGAAACTCTGGGTAGTTCTTGACAGTTCAATTGATTTTCTGTCAGTACAAAGGTTTCGTCCGTGAATGGTGACACGATTGTTTTTGTCGGTACAAAAGTCTCGCCTGTGAACGGTGACACACAAAAGCCATGCTTCAATTGTTGATCTAGCAACAGAAGATGGTGTAACCTCCCAGCCATCATATGCTTGGAGCTTGTTTTCCTCGACAGACTCTACAAACACGCAGCCCAAGAACCAATTCTCCTGATCCATCCCCAGTGTGCTTGCACTCCCTCCCTCCCTCTCATCCCCAGCCTGCTTGCTCAGGGCGATTTCGCTGGTAATGACAGCCTACGACAACCCAGGGAGAGATCCAAAGCGTGACACAGTAGCTGCGGTTACCCTACAACTGATGACATCAGATAAGCTCAAAATGTTTTCAGGAGAAAACTAGCTACTTAGTTCCCAATCATATGCTGGCTTCAATTCATACTTTTCCAGAAGTGCTTTGGTGTTTAGAAAATTTTAGCACTGCGAACTTAGGCGTCAGCAGGATGAAGTGCGTCTGATTTCCTCTCCTACTTTGAGTTGGGTCTAAGAATATATGCGACTCTTGAGGTTAGTAGTGAATTGTTTTGTGATAATTTTCTATGAACACGCCGTACAGTGCATACATTCGCAGTCTGTGTGCGTAACACTGGTTGTCCACACATCTGGGTACGGCTGTTAAAAACCCCGTGAAATTCGTTCGATACTCGAACACTACATTCCATGGCCTCGAGCGAACCATCCAAACGAACCATCACTGTGGTGGTTGCTTGCACCTCGCTAAAGAACTGTAGCAGGCTAGGACGAAGTGAAGGATGCTACAAACGGCATCATCGGATTGATGAGTAGTTTACTGTACACGCCTGCAACAGCGAGTTCCAAAGGTCCCTAAGAGCGCGGTACACCCAAGGAAAGATCGCTGCATTTTGAGGATCACGTCGGCGATCCTTGCGGAACAGTGATCACTGTGTCAGGTGGTGTACCAACAGAGGTGGGATCGGGAACATGTGTAGTCAATGGTACACAATCTTTGTGATGTCCGTAGGATCATCGTGACTGCCAATCTCTTGGTGATCTTTGCAACTCTGTACCAAAGTCAGGGTGATCCTTGTTGACGAAAAACTTTCCTTTCGCAATCAGGTCGTACATCTGAAACGAGGTCGCATCAAATCAAAGCATTTCGAAAATGAAAATCTCACCAATGACGTTGTTTCGTCTCAGTATATTACACGGCCAACATATGCACGCGAAGTATCAACGTTCGTGACTCGTTGCGATGTCGCCTGGTCGCAGAGGATCACCAATGCAAAATTGGAATTGGTACATCAACGAGGATCGTAATGTGCCCACAAAATTTGTTGTTTTGCTACCAATGATCCTACGATTGGGGTGACGGTGATCAGCTAAGTGATCCTTAAAAATGCGCCAGGTGTACCGCTGTCTAAGGTGCAAAACAAGCACGGTGCACACAGACCCTGGGCAGCTTGGTTTCCTTCTCCGAGTCACATTTACGAAAGCATCCTTGCCTTTTTTGTTTTTTTGAATGTTATTACACTATAAAAGCGCATACATCCTCAGTCGTAACTGATTTTCTGGAGAGGACCTACCCTGGTACCAACATGTTAGTGCCACTACCGGGGTCACCCCTCCATGAGGCTTCTACGGGGGCTGCCTGATCGTTCTGGGATTGCGCCAGATGGAGAGAAACCCATCGCTCCACGTGGCCTTTTCACCTGGCTCACTGAGTAGAGCCACCGCCGCTCTCTCGTCACCCTTCAGATCTCGCCACGGGTCCTTCTCCTGCTTCGCTGTACCTGACCTGCGTGCTCTCCGAGTCAGCTCCGTGCGATACACCTGAGCATGCAGCGCGAAATCTCTGATTGCCCCTCTTGCCACCTTCTTCTGCTGAAAAACTTCCCCCCTCCAGACCATGCCACATCTCGCCAGCCAGATGTGGCGGAATGTTGTGGCCACTAAGGTTGATGCAGGAAACCCTGACTTCGTGCCCCCCTCATCAAAAAGCAGCGCACCGAGCGAGTTCGGGTTGCCCGCTTGGCCCAACAACTGCAAAGATCTCTGCAGCGCGCCGATCACCGGTTGGACCAGCGGGCAACTGAACATGCAATGTTCTAGGGTTTCAGGCTTCCCGCAATGTGAACAGCGCGCCCTTTCCCCCAGGAATTTCAGCCTGCCGCCCACCTGTAGGTTCAGATTGTGCATTCTCAGCAGCACATCCCTTGCCCTGATGGGTGTCACCAACGAGTCCCTCTTGCTTTCCACCTTTCTCCAGTCTATTTTCCTCCCCCACGCTGCTTCCCACTCATTCCTCAGTGGCCTTTTCACCTGGCTCACTGAGTAGAGCCACCGCCGCTCTCTCGTCACCCTTCAGATCTCGCCACGGGTCCTTCCCCTGCTTCGCTGTACCTGACCTGCGTGCTCTCCGAGTCAGCTCCGTGCGATCCTTGCCTTTCAGAACCACCTCGCCTCCCAGCACCACCAGCCCACTCTCGAAAAGTTCCCTAGAAACTCTCGAGAAAGCCTTACAGTCTCGGAGGACACCTCAACAAGGTTCTGTCCTAGGCGTCTTCAGTTACGGCAGTGTAGTTTGAGCCACACCAATAATTTTTGCCGATACAGTTCGAAAGAAAAAGCATCGCGACTCGGGAGTTCTGTTTGCATTTTGGCTGGAAGCTGCCCTTTTGGGACCAGGCAAACGGCAGCCCGTGCTGAATGCGCACAGTGCCACAGGTCAAGTTTCTCGAAGGGCTATCGCTGCAAGTGTCAACCATGGGAAATCCGCGTATCAAATCTCTCGAACTAGAATACGAAGTTGGCCTCATGCGGAGAGCTGTTTCCAAATCAAATTAGTTGCGTATGGTTTTCGTTACAGTCGCACAGGTTTCGAGGCTTACGAGTGAGTTAAAATATGAAGTGATTGCCACTTCCTAAGCAGCTGTATTACCTATGTTTCTCATTCCTACACTTTTTATTATATTGTTTCTTTATATGCCTGCATTGTAAACAGATGTGAATTAGGGTGTTCAATGTAAAAACAAAACACACAAAAACGCAAACAAACAAAACTAAAAATCTTGACGCATTCATTGCTCCTGATAAACTCATTATGCCTGCCTTCTCAATACTAATAGGGCTTGGAATATAACTTGGTTGACCATGCTGAGACTTTTCTCCTGACGAATCATTAAAATTCCTATAACTATCTACATTAAACAGTAATATGCTAGTTTGTCTTCTCTGGAATAAGGCATGTATATGTTACACAAACAATCACAAGTATTTGAGTATGGATAGTGTTAGAATCTTAGCTTAGCTTAGGAGCCGTAGGAAGCATAGCGTTAATGGCGAGAGTAACGTGAGATATAGTTGAGAAAAGAGGGCTTCAATAGTGTCAGAAGTACGAAGAGGAATGATAGCAGAAGAAGAGAGTTTCACTAGCAGGGACGTCGATAGCAGACGAAAATGGTCTGATGGTCTGCAAATCAGACTCAATTTTGTATGTTCATCTGAGATTCAAGACAGGCTTTGAAATTTCATCTGAACTGTAATATTTGTATTATATGTTCATCTGAATTTCATGACACGCTTATACGTTTCGTCTGGATTGCCAGACAGCGCGTTTTTTTCCGTCTGATACTGACAACCGAGCCCACTGGCCCACAGTCCCTCTGGTCCACTGGCCCACTAGCCCACTGGCCCACTCGTCCACGCACTGTGGGTTGCGATGCATTACACCGCATTTATGATTCGGCGTGCCAGCGCAGCATGGAAGTAAATGCCACATGACTCTGGCAACTTCTGACTCAGAAGTTGCCGAGGTGCAGCGCACGCGTACAAGTAGACAACCTTCCAGGCTGGCGCGATGCTGCCAGCGCATACGTGCTGGCAGCTGGCCTGCCATCCACCGTGCGACGTGGGTGGCACCGACGTTCTGCCACAGTCACCCAGAGGGGGCGCGTCGCCATGGGATGATCACGGAATGGATGTGCTTCTTCTACCCCCCACGCAGCCGAGTTCTCCAGCAGTTTTTGCCACCACACCAGCAGGAGACTCAGCTCCTGGAGCACTCCCACGCAACCATTCTCGTCTCGTTATGGCTTCCGATGGGCGCCATGAAGCACCACCCACAGTTCCTAGTACTACCTCTCCCGTTGATGCTGTCGCTACCGAGAGGCGTACCGGCCTTGATTTCCTGACAGGGCAAAGCGACAAGGCCAAACCGACTTGTGTACTACCTAGCCCCACACCTGCAAGCGTCGATGTTCCTGTCACCCCCGATGCGCCATACCCCTTCGAACCTGTCAACAACAGTGACGATACATTGAATGCTTCTTACCCTCCGCCCTCGCCGCTCCCTTCTTGCGTTGCCGCATGCTCTCCTGTTCGCTCCGCCACGGTTCAGTTGACACCGCGCGCTGATGTGTCTAAAAACACTCGTGCCCCATTCCTTCCTCCTCGTTTCCCAGGCTCAAAGAAGTACAAGCAGCGGAAGCTGTCTTTCGCGAAGCATGCCACCACCGCTCCAACTGCACCGAATGCTGATGACAATCGTCACACGCGTGCAGCGCCTTCATCTGACGACGGGCCGTTCCCTCTGACTGTGGAAGAGCTTCAGTTGAAGGCCAAGGAGCAGTGGTCACGGCACTTTCCGTGGCTAATCATTTCTAAGACCAGCGAGGGACGCCCGTGCATGAAGTGTACGGTGTGCATTGCCTACGGCGACCCCGACTACAAGTACGGGAGGAATGGCGAAGGCGGGATTGACATTCAGAAGCAGACTATGCGGAAGCATAAGCACAGCATCAAGCACGAAGCAGCGCTCGAGAGGAAGGAGCTGCGAGAGGGGAAGAAAGCGAAGCAGCCGTCGATTGCAGAGTTTGCAAAAGACGATCCTGAGTCTGATCGCCTCTTCAAGTTGATGTTAATCGCGCACTTCATTTGCAAATCTGAAGCTCCGATCGCCCTCTTTGTTTCGCTCGTTCAGTTCATGGCAGAGATGGGGACGCCTCATCTCCCATTGAAGGATCACGGCACGTACATGAGCAAGTAAGTAGTGTTTACTTGTCCGCTTTATAAATATGTTTGTGCTACTACTTATACGCTCTGTCTTTTGGTTTGGCAGGTACGGTTTCAAGCAGCTCATGGAGACGATGGTCTCCTACCTGAAGGCGCAGCAACTGCGACACATTCGTGAGAGTCCGTTCCTTGGGATACAACTCGACGAAAGCACTGACAGGCGGCACGGGAAACATCTCATCGTGTACATCACGTTCCTCAAGCACGGGGTTGTCGTCACGGAGTTCTTCGCCAACTTGTCCGTCGACAAGTGTGACGCGGCGTCCCTCATGGCGGTCTTGCTGACTCACCTTGAAGGGAATGGGGTGGATCTCATGCGGTTTTCAGGCATTTCCACCGACGGCGCCAGCGTGATGACGGGCGGTAAAACCGGTTTGGTGGCGCGGCTGCGTACAAGAGTACCTCACTTGGTCTCATGTCATTGTATCGCGCACAGGTATGCGTCCACTTACTGTAACCGTCTTTACATGTGCTTTATGTTTCAATACGATGTTCTGACTTTGCTGTTTTTTATCGGCAGGGAGGCTTTAACCGCGAAAGATGCAGCCACGGCTTTCCCGGACTTCGGGATCATCGATAAAGCCGTACGTCACGTGGCAGATCTCATCGGCCGATCAAGCCCGAAGCACGCACGATTCATGCAGCTGCAAGAGGTGGTATCGGAAACCAACCTCGAGATGCAGGGAATTCACAGTGTCCGGTGGCTCTCCCGTGGAGACGCCATCGAACGATTCGCGGAGGTGCTCCCTTCAGCGGTCCTGATCCTGTACGAGTACGACAAGAAGACGTACGGCATCGTCACCAGCTTCAAGTTTCACTTCCTTCTGCACTTCCTTGCGGATGTGCTGAAAGAGCTGAACATCCTCAACCTGAAGTTTCAGCGGCGTCAGGTAAGGATTGCTAAACAGTTTTTCTGGTGTCGGACCTATCATGTTCTAACCGGCTTCCTTGTTGTTATTTGTCCTTCCTTTAAACAGGTTGATGTGACGGTCATACAACCAGCTCTTCAGCACACTGTGAACACCCTCAGCGGCCGTTACATCGACTACAAGGAGACTTTCGGAGACAACAGCGGCAGGCTGGCAAAGTTCCTGCAAGCGCATTCTAACATAAAGAAGCGAGAAGTGAAAGTGGATGGTGTTGATGCGGACGGCACGCCTACCACCCACAAGTATGTGCTGCACGAGAAGCACCTGGAGGGGCAGACCAGCGGATCGGACCTGTAGGCGTGCATCAAACTCGCCAGAGACTTTGCCACAGAAGTCGTTTCCAACCTTACCGAGCGGATGCATGACCTGTCGGCCCTTAAAGGCGCTCGTCTGTTCCGTCAAAGTGCTTATCCTAGCTCTCGGGCGAAGCGCGATAGCAGGTTTCTTCAGTGGTTTGAGTCTCTGAGAGACCTGTTCAAGAAAAAGCCGGGTGATCCCGACACACTTCCGGGTGGGTTACACTCCCTGTAATGTTGACACTAAACTACATTAATCCACGTCTAATATGTTTCCTTCGTGTCTGTCTCCTCCCTCCCATTTGAATCGTACAGGCATCCACTGGGGCAAGGCTAAGAGGGAGTTGGGGAGCTTCACCAGCATCCTCGCAACCCACCATGAGGACCTCTCGTTCCACGACAGCTTGAAGCACATGCTTGCGAGCGACGATTGGACCGCAGCCTACCCGAACCTCGTCAGGCTGTGGATGGCAGTGGCCGTGCTCGCGCTCAGCACAGTGGAGTGCGAGCGGGGGTTTAGCCGGCAGAACGTGATCAAGAGTTGGATTCGCGGCAAACTTTGCGATGCCACTCTCGGGGAGTTGATGACGGTGTCGTTGCTTGATTACGAGCTGGAGCCGCAGGGGATCATGTCGGTGTGGCACGGGAGCAAGAAGCGCCGGCCAGCTAAGGAGGTCGTGATGTCACAGGCAGGGCGGTCGGTGAAGCGAGCAAAGCGTGCAACGGCAGCGGCTCAGGCAGCAGCAGCCGTAGCATCGAAAGCAGCAGCAGACGCAGCTTCAAGAGCTGCGCGTGAAGCAGAGGCGGCAGCGGCGAGGGAGAGAGAAGAAGTAGCTGCCGAGGAGGCACTCATCCCCGCGTGGAGGAGGAAGAGGGGTCAAGTCGTAGCATCAGAGGATGAAAACGAGGATGCTTGCTCTGTTAGTTCTAGTGAATCTGATAGCGAGACATAGTAGGTTTGTAACTTCTAACGTATTAGTGTTTGCTTCAGACTAGAGTTTAAACATTGTCTGAATCCACAGACTAGTCAAAGCACTTTCGTCTGAAAGGTCTGACAGCGCTAACGAATCCGTCTGATGGTCAGACTTAGGCCAGAACGGCTGTCTGATTCTAAGACGGCCTTTTTGACTAGCGACGTCCCTGTTCACTAGCAGGCAGTTGGGATACAAATAGCAAACCCTAACCAGGATGTACTCACTATAGAGTACCCCACTGCAGACTAGACAAATATCACATTCTGACACACCCCCATAGGCAAAGTGGGGTATAATCAGCACAGCAAGCAGTCACATAATAAGTTCACAAGCACAAGCAAAGCTAGTGGGAGACAAAGAGGAATCGTGAGGAGGAGGAGGAGGGACTGTGAGAGGAGTGGAGATTGGAGGCGGCGGCTGAAGCTGCTGGCACACGGGCTACTGGAGCAACTGGCACACGGGCTACCGGAGCAAGGGCCCCGGACTACTGGAGTAACTGGCTCCGCGGCTAAGACGAGCGGCTGGAGCAACGGACCCACGGGCGACTGGCGCAACGGGCTCGCTGGCTACCGGAGCAAGGGCATCCGGACTACTGGCGCTGCTGGCTCCACAACGGCTACCTCCGTTCAACCTCCCCCACTGTTGCAGACCCCCTTTCACACACCCCCCTATGCACTCCTACCTCCACTCCCACGGCACCCCCCTAGCGCCACTCCCTCGGCTCCCACACATCCACCCCCCCCCAGCGTCAGCTGTAGCAGTGGGAGACGGAGGAGGAGGAGGAGCAGGGGACGGCTCACACACCCGCCACCCCCATACCCGCCACCCCCATAGCTGCACGCGCAGGAGGGAGAGGAAGGAGAAAGGGGAGGGGCGGGGGGGAAGCAGCCCCGCGGCGCACGGGGTCAAAGGGGCGGTGCGCGGGTCGAAGGGGCGGCGCACGGGGTCAAAGGGGCGGCGCGCCGCGACAGGCGATGGGGGACGGCGCGACAATCCCCGGGGGCGCCGCGACGGACGACGGGGGGCGGCGCGCTGGTCCCCGGGGGCGCCGCGACGAACGACGGGGGCGTCGCGCGGGTCCCCGGGGGCGCCGCGACGGGCGACGGGGGGCGGCGCGCGGGTCCCCGGGGGCGCCGCGACGGAGCGTGAAACCGCCGCGCACGCCCGGGGCGCACGGCGGGCAGGAAACTGCCATGCGCCCCGAGCGCGTGGCGGGAAGAAAAAACGTCGCGCGCCACGGGGCGCGCGACAGACAGTACAGCAGCGGAAGCAGGTGGGCCCACAGGCCAGGAGTATAGACGCTCTGATACCATGTGAGAAGTACGAAGAGGAATGATAACAGAAGAAGAGGGTTTCACTAGCAGGCAGTTGGGATACAAATAGCAAACCCTAACCGGGCTGTACTCACTATAGAGTACCCCACTGCATACTAGACAAATATCACATTCTGACAAATAGTAGCAATGCAAACAAGTTACAGGAAGGGGGAAGGTGGCAAGAGGGGTACACCACCAATAGACATAATACTAGTATGATACTACACTAACTACTCTTCATGCAAAAATAATTAGAATACAATTTCTAACATCCCCCCTTAACTGCATGCAAGAGGTAGCCAGTGATGTAACAAGTGAAGAGCAAGGCCCTAGATTGGTTTTTGAGCACCCTGGCTACGGTAATCGGGGTGCGACTTGTACTATTGGCCCATGGCCAGGGTGTCTTTTGAAAAACCCTTTCTTGATCAGGGTGAAATCAGTTTTTTTTTTTTTTTTTTTTTTTTTTTTTTTTTCAATAAAAATTTTATTACACTGTTTACGGTCAAGTTCACTACCACATACGAGTTACATTCAAGCACAACACCAAACAAGACCACCTTACAATAATCCTACATCTACAAGAGCGTCACTCCCCATCTGTAACGGGAGGAGCTGCAGCCTTAGCCTCCACAAACTCTGTGCGGCCAACAAAAGTCCCTTGATAGTCACGTTGCTGGCGACGGTTTTTCTAGCCGCAAAATACACTCACCACTTAAAAACAGTCCATACGGTACCCTATCAGCAAACAACGCATAAAGTGGCCCAAGATGCTATCAGCCAGGCAGCCACGGCCCCATGTCTTAATGAGGTTTTGCTTTGAGAAGCCACTTTCGCACTCTACCGTGCTCAGCGGGAGTACTACCACAGCTTGCCAGAGGCGGACGATGTCCGGGTCGCTCCTTTGTCAGGCGTCGTCTTCCAGAATGAGTGAGAAGGCTTGCTGGAAGTCTTCATTCAGATGCTGCGAGCGCATTGTGGATGTGAATATCCACATTTCGGACTGCGCTTTGAGATAGTTGAATCCTGCCAAGGGTTGAAAAAATAAAGTGGTGGCAATACATCAAACCGATTTTTGGCAAGGTTAAGAAACGAAACACAAACTACATATAAACAAACACACCTACACATCGGTAGATACAGTGGTGAATATGGCAAACAACAATTTACCAAGAAGTTTGTGGTGGTAGAGTTCATCCAACTGCCTCTGCCATTGCCTGAAGGCAGCATGGCGCTTCTCATCGTCCTGCAAATGACACTTGCTCTTGAAGAGCTTCGCCCCCTCCAAGTTGTCGAGGTCTTTCATGCGCCCTTTCAGGTGCTTGTTGACCCCCCGCGCGAGCTTGATGGCGATCTCGACACATGCAGCCACGTCCCCTCCCATCGGTTGTCCATCCAGGGGCTGCTCGTGAAGGGTGTAGAGGCTTGTCGTTGGGTTGACGTCATGGTCATTTCCCTCTGCAGCGACCTCACAGTTCTCTGGCTTCGCATGCGCTGCCAAGAAGTTAGGCAGCTGCATTCCGCCACCCTCGCCAAACATTCCTGTTGTGCGGGGTCTGATGTAGCAATGCTCGATTCGCTTTGTCGTTTCGTTGACCAGGAGACCAACAACGTCACATCCACCTGACGGAAGGGTCATTCCATGCATGGAGGGGTGTAAGGCAGAGTATATAAAGTTGTAGCAGAGTACAAGGATCGATTCAAGTGAGGGTAATATGCCGCTATATACCTGACGTTGCTGAAACCTGGTGTTCTGCTAGTTAAGCTAAAAAAGGATGTCAGCAAGGAACGTCATCAAGAACTGAAAATTGAAAGACGTGGCCACTTCAAACAGCTGGTGTCGATGTTCTTCCAGCAGCACGACAATCGCAGGCGAGACCTCCAGCAATCGTTGCATTGCCTCGCCGCGTGAGAGCCAACGAATGGTGTGGATCCCTTGCGCCTCCAGATTTGTTTGGCAGAGCACCCACTGCAAGTTCCAGAGGTGGGACTTGCTAAGACTCGTCGCCACAGCATGAACGACGTTGTCAACTATGTCGAGCTCCGGAACTACGACAGTCGCATCTTTAGCGCCCAACGCCTCTCTGCACGTGGGGGGAGAAAAAACAAGGAACAAGCAATGTTAATAAAGGTAAAGCATGACAATAGCAGGGCAGATGATTTCCAGAAACCACTCACCAATGCGCGACGCAGTGCGCGGCCACCAGATGTTCCACATGCGCACAAAGGCGGACGACTACACCGGTCTTTTCTCCCGTCATCACCGACGCACCGTCACTGGCAATGCCCGAAATCCGCTACAGATGAAGGCCGATTTGCTGGAAGTACTGCAGCAAGACCGTGGTCAATGAAGCTGCATCAGCACGCTCGATAGTGAGTAAGGTAAGAAACTCTGTCACAACAACAACTCCTTTGAAAAAAGTCACGTATACAATGAGATGCTTGCCGTGCACACGATCAGTACTCTCATCGATACTTATCCCCACCCATGGTGATGACAGCATATGCGCCAGTTGCATCTCCTGCAGATACTTCGACGTAGTAGCAAGGCATTCCCGGAAGCCATACCTGCCATGAACAGGACACAAATTAGTCAACTTATATATTGAATGGTACGAGCACCGTGAATTAGTGACTAGATATCTTACTCAGAGTAGTACGACCCGTACGCGCCGCCTGGAGGGAGGTCTGGCAATCCCTTCCTGGCCAAGAAC